CACGACCCCGGCGTATAACCTCCGGCAGGAGGCGTTTGGCCCCCCGAGGTTGGGGAGGATGCGTTTAAACGCAGCCCCCGCCCTCGCCAACTTTGGAGCCAAACGTCGGAAGTGCTCCACGAAGTTCCACCGACTGTCGAGGACGAGTCCCAGGTACTTCATCGTCGTCTCGACGCCGATGGTAACCCCTCCCGCCATTATTTGGGACCCACCCGGGGGTGGCGCGTTCCCGCGGCCATGAAAACACATGGCCTCGGACTTGTGGAGCGCCACCTCGAGTCCCAACTGCCGGATTTTTTCAACGACTGTCGCAACCGCTGTCGCCATTAAATCGGCCGCCGCCTGGTGAATCGGCCGCCGCCTGGTGATTATAGCTAGGTTAAGTCAAATATTTCGAAATGTTCGATGTGTGAAATGAACTTTCGAGCCTTATAAATATAGAACCCAGTTAAGCTCATGAGTAGGTTGTGTATCAATTATTGTAACATATCCATATTTTATTTTTGTTCTTGTGTATATCACTGAACGCAGAAACTAAGTAATCGGGTTTTTAATTTCATTTCTTATGGCATAAGCTGGTAAACGAGTAGACGGATAGTGAGCAATCGGCGTCACCCATAGATACCTGGAACATCAGAGGCGTTACAAGTGCGTTACTGGCCTTTTGGGGATTAGGAGTTTGAGGATTGGAGAGATTGGGGAAGGGGGGGGGGGATTTGGGCCTCCGGTAACCTCACGCGACGAAACACAACATAAGCGTTGCTCCACGTCGGTTTTCTGCTCGGCCGTGGTATCACTCCGGTCGCAATGGCAGGCCCATTCGTGCCGAAGCATGACTCTCCCTTTTAAAAATAATGTTAATTTTTCAGTCCCGAGATGTGAGGTTCTTTCAAAACTACGTCTGCTAAAACAACTAGAGTTATATAAATAACATTTAACTTACAGCATTTATAAAACAACAATTACCCAGGTGCTCCAAACCACATACCAAAATAACTTACCTACACATTTAAGCACCAAGTCATCATCCTATCAACACATACCCATGGCATATTAAGTCCCATTAACCACCATAACTTAGCAACAATTACGCAGGTGTCACTTAAGCTCTAAGTAAACCTAACCAAGTTAGGTAAGCTCTCGTTAAGTTAGAGTTAAGTTATTTGTTAAGAACTTAAGTTACTTGAAAGGATTTAAGTGTATACGTTTGTTTGAATAACTGTTAAGTTATGACATGTAAGACGTGTGACAGGTTTCCTAGGCTTTTGTAAGTTAAACACTGCTTAGTAGGCTTGAAATTCCTATTGTTAGGATTGATTAGAATGCAGTAGTTTCATAAGATCTTAAGTTATGAATGGTTTGTGACTATAGTAATCAAGACCACTTTCAGGCGATATCAAACGTAATGATAAGTATTAATCTCAGTTTTTTTACGTATTTTACGGTAAATTAATGGGATTTCTTATTGTTCGAAAAAATTATAATATAACGTACTATAACATCATGCCTTTTATCCCCGAACAATATACAATGTAACACCCAATTTCATTATTGATGTTATGAGTCCCATTAGGGGGTGAGACTATTGCCATATACCGGGCACAATTCCAGGCTCCGTGCTACTACTGAGATCTTTTTTTAAATCCCAATAGTACTTTGCCAGACCCAGGAATCGAACCCGAGACCCTCTGCACTTGCGACCACTCGGCGTACGAAGCAGTCAACTCGGTCAACGAAAAAATTTTATCAGATATTTTTTTTAATTTTCCGATGTCTTCATAACTATAACAAACAACGAATCGGTAATAGGTTACCTTAACCTATATTAGATAATGGACATAATATAGATTCGACTGAAACCTATTTAATAAAAGCATTTTAATAATCCAAACTGAAAATCTCGACACATAACCTCACTTTTCTAACTCAGTTATAGACTATACCATTACCTGTCAACTACATACTTACATAAACTAAACTTCACGGGCCATATATTCCCAGAAACTGTCTGTCTGTCCATCCTTCACTTGTTTATGAATATTTTAGTATATAGAGTTGCACAATACTTATTTAATAGCTAGCTATCAAGCTGTAATGCGGGGAAAGCATCGCATGCGCGTGCGCACCCGAGGTGGCATGCGCAGTGCGCAGGCGCAGATGAAAGTATGGATTACACTCGTAATAATTCATTATGAAGGAATTGTGACGGTTTATTGTTGCAAGTTTTACTTGAACTCTGTTATTTGCGACAATGTAATAGTTTTTAATTGTAGTTTTTTTGTTTTCGGTTTTAATTTTGTAGTTGAATTAATTCGTGACTAATCATTGAGTTGTGGCATACCACATTGTTGGTTCCACCAACCATAGTTGGTTCTGATATGGTTTTGTTTGACTTTCATTTCAAATTTCGCTTTAATTAATATTGATTATTGTTGTATTAAGGTAAATTTTTATAATTTTAAACATCTAAATTTTACAAGTAGCGCCATTTAGTTTTTCTTTGGAAGGGTAGCCGTGCAGGATATCATTTGTTAATCTGTGTTTGTTTTCTCCCTGCTTCCTTGTCTTTGCATCGCATCATTGCATGGCGCCGAAATATGTTTTCCAAGTTTCTACAATAAATTACGTTTATAAAGTGTCCATCATTTATTTATATGAAAACCAACCAATTATAATTTAATGTATATTATTAAATATTATACGGTATGACAGATTACTTCTTCTTTTACGATTATGTAGTTATTGTTTTTTTTAAAACCTATTCTATTACACATTACCTAAAACAACTGGCATAACACATGCTTATAACTCAGTCACAGTTCACAACTCAGTCACAGAACAAAAGATAAAACACAACTTAATTATGAATGATTATAAATAAAACTTTATTACTTAGTAATGTTGTCAGGTGTTCGGAAGTGGTGACAAAAAGGTGACAAGATAGTGTATAACTAGATACGAGTGTACGTTACAATGGACAATGCAGGCAGGTGATAATATTTATAACTACAGAGATGTGGAGATAGAAAGAAATACATGTTTTAATGTTGCAATCTATATAAGATACGTTCGTTAAATAAAAAAATCCTTAGGCGTATATTACCTTAGTCGCGGAGAACCTAACAGGTAACCGGGGCTCCGGCTCGACGTGCAGGAGAAGGAACGGGGTGGTTTTTAGTCAGTAAGACTCCCGCCTCACCCCGGTGGGAGAGGTCATACGATGGTTTTCCCTTCTTTCATCAGTATTTCCGGTGCCGAACCATGGTAATTACATACAAGCTTCAACCACGCATCTCATCACACAAACAGCTATTTTCGAAAACTATGCACAATTTAACACAAAACCCATAAGAATATGTAAACATAGATGCATACGGCTACATATCAAGCTACGAACAACCAGTATAAACTGGCCTTCTAGTATACGAAAAGATCTTATAAGGCGAGATCATGATATACTGGAATTGCACAGCTTGACGTGTATACATCCCGTTTCTTAAGATTGGGGTCGCTCCATACATTCTCCGCACATTTCTACTAAACAATGGTGATTCAAATCGATGTGGTTTTGTGATAAACTTATGTTTACTATCCTTTGTGTGTATGGGACGTGGTTATGTTCATTTCATAGTGTTGTTTCTTTTATTGTGTTGTTATTTACTTGATTTGATAAAATTTTGTTGTTGGATGTTTGATGTCCATTTTGGAAATTGGTTTTGATTGGTAGTTGAAGAAGAGGGAATAATTTATATTATATGTTCTATATCTATATGCGACATAACATCACGCCTTATCCCCGAAGGGGTAGCAGAGGTGTACATTATGCCACTGGACAATGTAACACCCACTTTTCACTATTTGCGACATTATTTTTTATACATATTCATATATGCGACACTTATAGTAAAATCATAGAAAAGTCAAAACTGTACATACATACATACATTGAACTGTACATTTTAAAAAGAATACTTGGAGCGTGATCTACAATGGATTCCGAAGCCAAAAATATGGTTTTTAGAATTTTTGTGTTTGCTGTATGTATGTCCGGAATGATCTCAAAAAGCACTGCATAGATTTACTTCAAATGTTGCAGGAATATTACTAACAAGTCGGGTCAATATATACGCTACATATTATCACGCTGTAACCTACGGGAGAAGAGCCATATACGAGGTGCTGAATCATTTCTGACGTCATTCGTTACCGTAGAATATCCCTTGATAAAGACTAATTCGAAACCCTAAACTCTACCAGAAGTTATTATTCTACGCGGCCGAAGTCGCGGGCAACAGCTAGTACTAACAATAAAATAAATGCAGGATAAGCCGACATGTCTTTGTAATTCTCTCGTGATTTCGAAAAAAAAACAAACGAACTGGCAACAGTTCACAAATCAACCATCAGTTGATCTCATCAAAATACCCTTTTTGTGATAACTTTCTCAGTAACGTCTCAATATAGGAGATAATAGAATAATCTATTCACAACAAAGTATTCGATAATATAACCACTTTGCCACGTAACTGCTGACAGCCTGTCACAGTAACGATGACATGAAATTACCTCATAGTAAAAGACATCTTAGTTTCTACTGCACTCGAGCGTGGAGTGTGACTGTACATAGAGATGTGCATGCACTATGATATACAAGGTGTAGTTTTGAAGCCGTGTCATTTCTCGGGGGCATATCACAGCAGTCATAAAGGTACAATGTAAAAGAAAGTTTCAGGCCAATAGTTAAAAATACGGCTATAATAAATCGTATATAAAATATATTGTTTATGTACTCTTTGCGGATAAATAAAATAAAGTACCTAAGAGTAGTTTAATTTAATTTAAGTTTTACCTAGTTTAGTCTTTCTACATTTTAATTACCAACTCCTATCGATATATTGTACTGTAGTATTTTCCTGGTCAGTCAATTATTGTACCTACCTATACCATAGATTTATTTATTTTTAATAGAAAAATATTAACAAAAATTATGTTATTTCCAGATACTGATTCCAGATCAACTGAGTTACTATTCAAGTAAACTGGTAAGTCCATTTCTATAGTACCTATTACACATTATTTTAATACCACTTATTAACAAATTATGTACAAAACTGTGACCCTCTTATTAACAGAGAGTATTATAAAGGGTCACTTAATCTTATGAAGTACAGGATGTTTTAACTGTCAGTTATTTTAATTATAACCTAACGGTGATAATTAAGGTGCGAACAAGTTGGACCTTCTTCATGTGTTTGACATATTTCATCATGTCGTGGATGAGAACAATTATTGTTTGTTAGTGATGAAATATTGCAAGAGCTTAGGTCATGATTCTACTAATTAATGTAGGTAGGTGCCTATTGTAAGTAATTTCGTTAGTGTAAAGTTTATAAAATTTTAGTAAAACGTACTTTACAGAAGTAGCTTTTTCGATATTCGATAATTAATATGTTCCGAACACCTAATATTTTAGGAAAAGTTTTGTCAGTAGAGTGCTTAATTTTTTGTTTACATGTACCTATAAACTTTGGTTTAGACTTCCTTTAGCTATTAGTTTTATGTTCTCTTCTAAGCATAAGGCTTAGGATGACCCATTACTTAAATATCACTTCACGTAACATATAACACACTTTCCGTTAATTCCAGCTCCCTTCATTACAACGAACATTAAAATTAATTTCTCTCAGCACAATTACACAGTAATATAATTACTAAATTCTTTGGTAACCGCATCATTTAGCGTGTTTAGTAACAAATTCTTCCCTAGCCATCATGGCGGAATTCATATGTTTATGAAATCTGCACGAAGTGACTTTGTACCAGCGCGCAGCGTCCAATTAAAATTTTATAGTAAATCCTACGTTTTTCTCGTTTCGCGTTCCCATACTACCTATTGTGTGAGTCTTATGTAAATAATGACGATTAATGATGCTTCTGTAAAGCTGCATTGTGTAATGTGTAACATAATTCGGATTTACAAACAACGCGACTTAACTCATCAGGTAGAATGTTCGTATAAAAACTAGCATATGTACCGGAATATTGATGATGAGATAGTGGTGTAATAACGATTTCCTATTCGTTTATCATGAAATAAGCTTAGTTTACTCTATTTCCCTGTATTAATTTATAATAATCAATGAAAAGAAAACACCAATAGTACGTTTATGCTATAAAATAATTATAATTAATTACTCGGTAAATATACTAATACATATAAAACACTGCTCAAGATAATTACTACCACTAATTACAGCTATCAAATTAGTTCTAAATTCTCTCTAAATCGACACTTAAGTTAGATGAATATTTATAAAAAAAAACAAGACCAATTTAATTCAGGTCAAGTAACTAGCTATCATATATCTATCATTAATAACACATACTTTGATTAGTAGCAATTTATAAATCAAATCGCAAAATTTAACGACTTTTTTATGTCTTATAAAGTTCAGTCGATGAATGTTGCAACACTCACACATTTAACATTTCACTAAAAGCTTCTGGTTATTTGAGATTACTGTCTAGACATCATATTAAATACTAGTAAGTGCACTAAGTATTATAATTATAAATGAAGGCATTGACATTAAAGTGTAGTGGACCAATAAAAATAAATCATGACTACACCTCGTCACAAGATCACGTCGTGTGATCCAACTGTCATTTGTGTTTGATTTATTGAAATACTTATCGATATATTTTGTATATTACCCGATATTAATTTATTATTTATTTTTACACGTTTCACAATAATGTACAAGCAGGTTAATGTCGATAATAATACATATTTTGGCGCAAACTGCTACATTTTTTTTAATATACTATTTTAGGAGAATTTATAGATATACATCTTTCACTAACCTACTTTTGAAGCGACAACATAACATGCAATTTTCAAAAATTAATTTCCAATTGTTCACGAAGCAATCACTCAACCCCTTCACTAAAACACATTAATTAATGACGAAAAAATTTTCTCATTAACAAAATCGTGACAGCCCTACGTACGCATGTGTGTGTTTAGGCCGACAACGCATAGTACCGTTGCCGAAACAGAAAGTTCAAGGCCGTACAGAATACCGTCAGCAGAACAATCGTTAGCACATTGTTAGCGAAAATATCGCCTTTTGTTTTATCATTCGAAATGATATGTGATGTGAGATTTAATTACAGGCTGTAGTTGTGATTGAGTAAATTTTTTGTAACCGCCATAATTGGTTTATTGTTTAAGGTTTCAATTCGGGTAAGGGCTGTTGAGTGTCAGCTTTGTATTCTTTAGTTATGTAAAGTTGTGTGTGTAATCAAGAATGCTAAGGGTAAAGCAACATTAAGAAAAATATAGACGTTTAAAAGTTCGAATTCGAGTTTTTCATAAGATTTACTTTGGTACATTATATGTCCTTAAAACAATAACAAAATTAGTTTTACACCCAAAATATTATTTTAAGTCAACTGTTACACTTTACTTACTAACGCTCCAGGCCGATCTGTGCGCATGCGGCGACTGCAACTAAAGGCCATCTTCCCATCGAGTCGATCGCTCCAACTCAGGCGCATGCTCTACTACTCGTGTCGTGTGAATCTATGAAAGTTTGTCGAGGAAGGCTATCGTAATAATATGGAGAGTAGTATTATGTGTAAATACTGATGAATGATCATTCATTTTTTTTACTTTGAACAATTCCTTTAGCACTATTGTTTACTTCCTGAAATTCTTATAGACTATTAACATAGACCTCCTTCAGTAGTGCGACTCACACACTTCAGTAAGGACGTGAAAACTCAGTTTCATCTTAATATTTTTATAGTTATAACCATAACATAACATCACGCATTTTATCCCCGAAGAAGTAGGCAGGTGTGCACATTACGGCATTTAATTCCACTGTACAATATAACACCCACTTTTCAATATTTATCATGAGTCTCGTGTAATATTAGGGAGTGAATCTATTACCATATACCGGGCACAATTCCAAACTTCGTGCTAGTATTGAAAATTATTTAAAAAAAACCAGTAATACTTTCCCGACCCGGCAATCGAACCCGAGACCTCTTGCCCAGCAGGTGCACTTGCGACCACTCGGCCAACGAGGCAGTCTTTATAGTTATAGGATGAGCCTATTATTACGTCGCATCATGAACCGGGTACAATTTAAAACTATTTTGTTACTGTTTACTGAGATAATAATAAAATCAGTTTTATCGAAAGTTCAAGAAATCTTTTAAAATTTACTTTTTCGAAGTTTTCCCTTTGCCAAACAAGATCATGATAATGTCTACCTACATACTATGACACACATCCCATAGAATGTACACGATACAGACTATAAGCCATAAACAATACAATTTAGATACGTATCTATATAATTGTATGGTGTTTACATGTATGAATAATATATGACCATTAATCTATTATTTGTATGTGAACTATATGCATAACATCACGCCAGTTATTTCATGGAAATGTAGATAGAGATGTAGTTACTGATGAACTACTTATAGCTAATTAAAATGCTAGTATGTTATACTTAAGTGGCAGAAATGAAAAGAAGAATTTTGTGAAGGGATGAATTTCAATATAAGACAATGGACAAAGAATTATACAATGTATCTAGTGTGGAACCTAAGTAACTTGAAATAAAATAAGGGTAGGAAGAAGATTAAAGTCGTTACTGTCAAGTTTACAGTTCGATTCTTAACCAAAGAAATATTCATTTTTATACCGGTCTATAATTATTCTACATACATACATATACACATACATATATACATACATACCTTCTATAACTATTCTATATACCTACATACATAGAATAATATCTTAGGAAAGTGAAAAAGATACATACACAATATTTTTTAAAATAATGCTTGAGGCACCATCTAAGCCAAATAATGGTTTCTAGAATTTTTGTCTGTTTGTCTGTATGTATGTCCGGGTCCCGGGTTAAACTCAAAAAGTACTGTATAGATTTACTTTAAATTTTGCATGAATATTACTAACAACATATAGGCTACATATTATCACGCTATCATCTACGGGGAGGAGCTGTTACTCACTATTCCACGCGGACGAAATCGCAGGCACAGCTAGTTCATAATAACTAAGTTTCCTCAATAGTAAATCGAATTATCAGTACTTGTTACACCATAAACTTGAAAGATAATTAACAAAAGGTATGACGTTTTAAACTTATAATAATAGCAACTATTTCACTATCTCTTTCTACCCTTGACCTCTGCCTTTAGGGAAAAATGGTCTCAAAAAGTACTCCATACACATAACCACTATCATTCTACATCTGCCCTTTTCAAACATTGGCATGCTAATTAATACAAATTGGACTCAACGCCCTTGATATTAAGAAGAAATTCCAACGGACCTTCCGGCATAACCAATTGAATTCACGGCTACACCTTAAGTTAAACAAAACCAGTTTATGATAGTCTAGCTTTATAGTATCTTTCCGTACATTCAACTGTCTGTTTATACTGGATAGCATAGCTTGATCTGTTAGCCGTATTTACATATCATTGCTTTTTATGGCATGAGACGGTAAACAAGCAGACGGATCACCTGATGGTAAGCAATTGGCGCCACCCATGGACACCTGGAACACCAGAGGCGTTACAAGTGCGTTACAGGCCTTTTGGAAATAGAAATTTCAGAATCATTGAGGATTCAGGGATTGGGGAGATTTGGGAAGGGTTGGTAATTGAGCCCCCGGTAACCTCACTCACACGACGAAACACAACGCAAGTGTTGCTTCACGTCTGTTTTCTGTGCGGCCGTGGTATCACTCCGGTCGAGCCGGCCCAGCATGGCTTTCTCACACTTAAAATCGCTTGTTACCGATATTATGTCTAAACGAGTTTTGTATGTTTTTGTTCGGGTTTCGAGTTGTCGTTTATTTTATTGAGACTGGTTTCATTCAAGTGGCGTAGGTCATGGTTTTTTTGAGTATGTACGAGTATGTTCGTGTCTGCATTTATGTATTTTTGTCGCAGATTTTCTTAGACTTAAAGTGTGACGTTCGTT